CATACTTATAACGTTAATCAAGAGCGTGAGGAGGTGTTTGCGAGGCAGGAAGCACGGATGGTAGAGGTCCTCCTCATCAGCTCCCCTCATGGCCATGTGCTCACTGATCACCTGCAGAGCCTTCCCTGCCACAACCTCAAACTTCTCCTCTCCACCCAGTCGCTTTGTGAGGACCCACTCCAGGAAGGGTAGGCAGTACACAAAGCCCGGGGCACAATAATACTTCTCATCGTCATCCTCGTTTGCGGATCTGTTTAAATTATTGTTTTTTTTTTAATGGATATGTTTCTTATACAAGTTTTATGGAGTTTTTCATCTGTAAATGTTATGTGAATTGCAATATGAACTGAACCAGCTGTGACTGTCATTTTGTATTAATATTGTGGCTTTGCGGCTAAGCACTGGCAGAGCCATCTAAAAGCAGAAACATTTAATAAAACAATACTAAAGTGAACACATTTTCCTGGCAGCATGGGGTTAAGTAAAATAATTGCCACTTAATTTTCTTATATCAGCACTAAAATTTATATACCCCTTTACATATCACTAAGATTATACCAAATTGATTTCAAAATGAAACAGATCTTCCTCTGTAATAAAAGAAATTGATCATCTTGATCAAATGCATTTAATCTTTAAAAACAGGGTAGACAGGATACGGCTTGCGAATGACTCTTTGCTGATTTAGTCATTCTGATGCATTTGCATGTAAACATAGTTAATAAAATAATAAAATAAAAACACAATGGATGACGTAAGCCTACACTCCCAGCATCAATAGACATGATATGTCTAAACAAATTTGAAATGACTGTAAGACTTACTTCTTTGGCACAGTGGCTTCGTGTAGCATGTCTAGCGTTCTTTGGGCTGCTGCACCTAGGCTTTCTCCTTCCCAGTCCCATGGTATTGGCATGACAGGACCACAAACTCGAACTGTGGTGCGTGCCAATGTGTGCGCTGTAGGAATAAAACGTAACTATTATAGAGTGTTATTTTTTCCAACATGTTCAAGGTCATGAGGTCAAGTCAAGCATGCAATTGCTAATAAATCTAATTTCCTAAAACCAAGGATAATTTTATCTTAGAAGTTAATCTTAATAGATGCATCACTCATATTCTAACCTATTAATTACTGCAAAATATATATCATTTGAATAAGAAGGCTAACTAAACCAATCATTCAATAAAATCTGACTGATTGATTGATTGATTGAAACTGGATACACTTCCCCAACTCACCAAAGACATCATCTTCACTTTCAAAGACTGCCATCCTCAGCTTGAGGTATAAATCACAGCATTGCTGGGCAATAACCCTTGACTTCAGAGATGAGGTCAGGAGTGGAACAATGTGCATGAAATGGGGAGCAAGGTCATCTAGGTTGCCTGCCACTAGAGCATTCAACATTGACATGGCTCCGGCTACACTCTCTTGCAGCGCTCGGACTCTGAGAAGAACAATTTGGAAATTATGGAATATTCATAATTTACAGAATACTATGTTCCTGCTTTAGATTATCAGTACTACAATTAGTCTTATGTTCCTGCTTCAGATTATCAATACCACAACTAGACAGATATGGACAGATTATATCAGGAGCCAAAAGTGTTTACAAGAATTTTCTTACTTTTCTCTTGTTGCATTCTCCTTTTCTGTTTGGGCTCTCAAGACTTCCTTCTGTTTGGCTGTTAATTCTAGTTTTCCTTCCTTTCTCTTCTTTTCAAGCTCCTTCTTCTTCTCCTCTAGCATCATCAGCTGCTCTTTGTGGCTGTAAACCTTGTTAGATTTCTTTACATTCTGAATATTCAAATGATCTTCAAAGGCCCTGAAATTTAATGAGATGAATTAATCTGGGACCTTGGCTATGGATGGGTAGGGGGAAAAAGGTATAAGACCATAAAATCCACCCTCCAACTAGGAATCTATACCTTTAACTCAATCGGGCCGGGTGTCACATATATGAGACACCAGAAAAAATAAACATTGCCGGGCGTCCCGCCAGTGTAACGCTGTATCGGGGCTGCGCTCTGATGCAGCAGCGGCGCCCGGCGGGCCGGTGGACAGACTCCGGGGTAGCTACACCCGCCAATTTTGTAGCCGCCCAGAACTTTTAATTTTGGCTAAAAAATGTACCCGGCGTGAGTGGGTTAATATAAAATCAATCATTCCAAAATGCCTGCCGGAAATCAATGGTCCTGAAACATATGTACCCTTCAAATTTTGCATCTTTTTCTCCTGTTATCTTAGTACTTACACACAAAGCACCTTGTTTCCAACTGAACAACTAGATACTCATCCATTCTACAAGAATTTAAATACAGGATTTAAAAGATTATATCCTTTTCATCCTATATCTTCATACATTTCTGCTATGGCTTATATAACCTATATTATAAAGCCATCAATAAAAGTAGTCCTGTCGAGTAGGAAAATGAATGCAAGCCTTCACCTTACTTGAGATAGGACACTACACAAAAAAGTATATCATTAAACAAAAATCCACAGGTCACTTACTCCTCCACAACAGACTGATTGTACAGCGTGCCTTCAGGTGTGTTGAAAATTGCAAAGTCTTCCTCCGAAACCTGTGTCAACTTTGGGTTGTTTAGGTGATTGATGGCATACTTTACTACTGGCGGAATAACGACTCTACCTCCTAAACGAGCTAGGCCTGCTAAGACCTGTTGTAAAAAAAATAGAGGAAAAATATTAGTACTTAAATTTAAATGAAAAACAAGGTCAGGCAAAGGACATTTATTATCCAAAAATATAAAAATCCCCTTGTCATCTCCTTACCGACTCATTGATTGGTGATGGAATGTATTCTGTTGTAAGCTGTGGAACAAGGTCTCCCTCCTGGTTCTTAATGACCTCTTCTGCATTTAGACCCTGAGCACGGCACACCTGCTCCCACAAGTTAGGATTCTCACGAACTGTCATGGTAGAACAATAAGAGATGTGTCAAGAAGAGTACATGAAATATATACTGTTTTTTTTTTTCTTCTTCTTTTTTTATACAGTAAATAGCAATGACATTCTGCACTATATGCCCTCTTCATCTGTGCATACTGCAGAAATTCTACGACTCCTTTATTCAAACAAAGAACTGGCATTAGCAAACAGCTTAAGAATACCCTTACCCATTGAAGGGTGGAAAGCCGCAGGAAGAGCCAACACAGCTAGCCTCTCCTTCTGGCTCCTGTCTAGATTGCTGGGAGAGCAGATGACAATGAGAGCTTGAGCCACCCCAGCAGGGCTCAGCTCTCCTACTCCACTGCCTCCGCCTGCATCTGGTTCGTCTGCCTTCTGCAAGATGAGGGAACATACTGGAGTTAAGGCCTTTACTGGCTACTACCCAAACTTTGTCTGTTAGCATCATGTGCCACTTTTTTTGTTCCTCTTTATCAGCAATGAGTAATATTTCAGCAAATGTGTAAATAAAAACATAAAAAGGGCAACACACATTCCATCCCTATGAACTTACTTGAACTTTCGCATTCTGCATCATTACTGTCAAGCTGCTTAGGAGATCTGCCGCCAGCTGTCCTCCACCTAGTGAGGCAACCAGCTTTTTGGACGAGTTCTGTGCTGCCAGCCTGACCTGGGAATGAGGGCAAACCAGGCACCATACCAGTGCCTGCTCCACTGCCATTGCCTCATTTCCCAGTTTCCCAATGTGATGTGACAAAAGAATTTCACACCATGTCACCAACTGCAACAAACCTGATGTTGTTCCATAAAATTAATCACCTTTCTTAGCTTCATTTCCCATGATTACAAGATTTTGTTCTTGTACAGAGAACATCATAATATTACATCCATACATATTCTAAAAGGGAAAAGTAACATCAGAGTAATATCAGAGAGTACATCATACACTAAATAATTATATCAAAACACAAAAAAATAATCCTTGCCTTCCTTAGGAGCCTGAGTAAAGAACTTTTCCCCTGTGAAATATCCCTTCTGTAGGTCTAGGGTTGATGACCACAATGAAGCAATTTTCTCTTCCGCAGACATATCACTCATGCTAATCTTCAATAGTAACACTGTCGCTGTCAATGCCTCAGATAACATTGGCACCTAAAAAGAAATGTATTTATTTACATTGCAAAATGATGCTATTTCTATTTCAAAACACATTACAAATTCTAAACCAGGAATTATCCATCCAAACAATAGGATGTGTTACCTACAATACGAACAAAAGCTACAGTAGAATTACAAATTTCAATATTGTGTAAATAATTTTTTATCAAAGATATTTGGGGATCTACTATTGCCCTTAGACAGAGTAAACATACTGTATTATACAAGTATTTGTTTCTATTTCCAAGTAGTATCATCAAAATGCTGCTAGTAAGAAAATGGTGTACAAAAACTGTACTCATAAAATTAAAAGAAATAAGGACACTTATATCCTTCATGAAGTCTTCTTCATCTAAAGGTATATATCAGAATGATAATCAAACAAATGCCAAGATATTAAAAAAGGCTGACATGAACAGGTGATAAAATTCATTCTTTTACTTGAACTGTTACCTTATTACTTGTCGTACCTGGGTACTCTGGCCAAGAGCCTTGTCAATGCAGGCCATCAGTTTGGGGATGAGGGTGGCCGCCTTGAAGGCACTTGAAGGGGTAACACACGCTAACAGGCACCGAATATACGCTGCCCTCACACTTGTGGTTGAAGTTTTCAAGCCCATCCCTTTCTGTTTGGCAAATAAAGAGCTTCTGTCATTAACACTGCCTCCCATTTACTCCTGTATGACCCTCTTCCACAGGCATCCATAATATCTATATATCTGAAATCATCACCTCGCATACAACATGGATTTTACGGGAAAATTACCGGGAAGAATTCAATCAGTTTTGGGGGGATGTCAGTGTTGAACTTGCCTGCCCAGGCAGTGAGGGCAGAGAGGCCTTGCACTAGTGACCCCTCATGACTTTCCGTCTCCAAGACTTTGATCATCTTTTCCAAGACCATCACTGACAAGTTGTAAGCGCTGCTCCCAGTTACACAGTGCTCACTGATGGCCTCTACACCCTAACAAGAGAAATAAGACTTAGACTTTCTACTATGTCATATGAAAAAAAAGAAAAAGAAAGAGAGAAAAAAAATGACAAAGATTACAGTAAATAATTTCCAAACAAATACTTTGAACTAACTATTACATTTCACCTTACCAAAAAAAACATACCTGTAGGACAGACACTTTCTGAGTATTGACCGTCAACTTTCCATCTGAGCCAAAGAAAACATCAAACACAAGCTTTACAAGTATTTCCACAGCTGATGCATCACTACACTGCTTTGAAAGCTGTCGGCACACCTCAACTGTGTCATCGCGCACTTGATCTTCTTTGGCATGAAGTGGGCCTGCAAAGATATGAGGATGCAAATTACTGGTCTTCTAAGATATATGGTAACAAACAGGAAAATCACATGTACCATTTCCTTTTTTTTTTTTTTTTTCTTTTTTTGCCGATGAATTCTAAAAATAGCAGAAAACCGGTTACCCATCATCTGCCTCTGAAACATATCTAATTCAGGACTTACTGGCAAGCAACTTGCTAAGTTCTTCCACATACTGGCTCAGGTCCAGATTGAGCCCTGAACAAAGTCGAGCCACAGCCTCCAAGATGACTTCAGGATTACGCAGGAGGGATTTTTTAAGAGCAGGTAAGATCAGTTCTTTAAAATCTTCATGGCTCAGCTGGCGTAAAAGTGGCCGTGTCTGGTCTAAGACGAATGGTCTTGGCTAAGGAAAGTAACAGAATTTCAAATCACACTTTTATCTCAATAGTAAACAGACATGTACTATAAAATAAGATTAATACAGTTCTTTCTTTCTCTTTAATCAAAATGTTTACTTGAAACAACTGTTAACATCTCCCAACTAAAATATCACTTATTGCTGTCTTACTAACAAGAAAGCATATTTCTGCTCCTCCAGAAGAAGAAATAAGCCCAGCACCTCACCTTGATCTTAACCTGGATGACCAACTTCACATAGGTCTCAGTGAGCACACGCTTCATGTTAGCAACAGGAGGTGACACATTGTCCTGGGTCATGAGTTGGAGCAGGTGACCCCCAAGAATCACACGGTGTATGCTGATCTCACCGCTCACCAATGCCTGTGAGAAGAGGACCAAAAAATAATAATTCCTTAAAATACCTTAAATCACACACGATTTCCCGACTCATCCATTTCTTTTTATCAACATCTTGTGATAGAGGTCGGCAATGAGTACATAAGTGCCAGACTTGGCACACAGAGCACTTGTCTATAGTGTACTATGGGATTCAGAGGAGCAAAGAAAAAAGTTAAACAGCAAAATATTAAAAGGTGAGGGGGAGGGGGAGGGAGGAAGAGAGGGAGCGAGAGGGAGGAGGGAGGGGGGGGGGGGGGAGAGAAGAGAGAGAGAGAGAGAGAGAGAGAGAGAGAAGAGAGAGAGAGAGAGAGAGAGAGAGAGAGAGAGAGAGAGAGAGAGAGAGAGAGAGAGAGAGAGAGAGTTATTATTATGGGCAGCTATATTCTAAAATCGAGAAATATTGGAAACTACTGCGAATGATCATGCAGCCTCCATATCAAGTTCCCTGACACCACTATCTGATAAATTCAGTTGCATGAAGAAAGTGGCGAGTATAAACCTAAAATCATAAAACATGTATATTTTTTATTACAAAGAATGCTAACAGTTACAAAAATATTACATTTATGTTATGCATGTGCATGAAAATACATTTGGGTATACTGTGCTGAAAAAAAAATGGCACACAAGATTACGAATAAGAAGGCATTAGTTATCAACTGGCACACTATGTTCAAAAGGTTGCCGACCCCTGCCTTACGACAACCCCATGTCACTAAGCTTACCTCACAGACAGCCTTTAAGAGATCTGCATCCTTTAAAATGGGCCTGAGGGTTTTAAGGGTCTTGCTGGACAAAAAATTGTCATTTGCTGCAACCGTGAGGGAGAAGTGTATTGCCAAGGCCTCAGTCAGGGCAGTAGCCTCTTTTGAGCTAATGGGGTGCTTGGAAGAAAATGCAATGCACCAGACCCTTGCTGCCACTTCTGCTGGGAAAATGTGGATTCGGGCCAGTGCACGCCTGTGGAAAATTTTCTGTTAGAAGATATGATAGAATATGTTTTAAATTTTGTGTGCAAACAATTCACATTCTTTTAGTCAGACACAGAGATAGACAGACGGATGGACAGACAAACCAGACAGTTGCTAACAATCCTAAGAGATCCTGATGAAAAAGGTAAAATAAAGTCAACTCACGATGAATGAGGCGCCAATGAATGCTGCTGCGCAAGAGCCTGCTGGGACAGGGCAAGTGCTGGGATGGAGGCAGCATGCTTCTTAGCCAACGTGTAAATCAGTTCACGTAACTTGCTCCTCGAGGGGCCATCAGTGTAACTCGGAACCACTTGTACCAGGAGTCGGGACACTCCCTTCACTATCACGTCTGGCAACTCTGTCAGCAAAAAGCATTATGTACTATCATACAATGATGTAACAGTATTTTACAACATGCTCTATCAGCGAGAATAGTCAGCAGCATGAAATGATAAGAGGATGATTCAACCATCAATAAGACATAGCAAACTTCTTATCAAAGAGTCATAAATATGAATCTTTTTATGCAACAGGAAGCCAGGAAACATACACTGCAAAACTGCCTGGTTTGCAATCTTTTTTTGGTTAATCTTTACGGTATGGACACACGAAGGTAGAGGAAATTGAAGATGATATTCTTGTAGAGGACAAAATGTTGTAGTCATTGGTACATGAAATAATCTACAGACACCAACAACAACACCACAAATAAAGGAAAGAGATTGCTGAAAGTGCAGTTCTCAGCCAAAGTCCACTTCGTCCTCCCAAGTTTCAGCTCTATCTAGTCGTGCATACGAAGTGAAGACAATGTTTCCTGGGGGGTGCTGGAGGGCAGATCCCCCCATCAACCCTCCCCAATCACGGCAACATGGATTATTGAATAAATTTTGTGACACGGAATTGGGGACTTAGTCTCTGACAAGTGTATCCATACTGTAAAGAATAACCCTTTTTTTAATAATTGAGCAATAACTTATTCTGAACAGGTAGGAATAGTGTCTTCGGTATACCTATATATAATAAGGAAAATCTAAGGGCACTGTCATAAAGATGTGTAAAAAATAAATTCACTGATATATATGATCTACGCAGGCAAAGAATAACATCAGAAATTCTTAAAATATGTCGCAACAAATGCCGTGCCGAGGCAGATTCCAATCACACTCACAGCAGCTAAGTCCCTGTGCGCGAAATTTGTCTATACGCTAAGTCAAAAAATCACTCACCGAGTATAAGTCCACGAGCAGCTTTCAAAGCAACTTCCTTCAGACTGCGCATATATGTCATTTGACGTCACTAACATTAATGTCATGATAACAACTACTACTATTTCATATCTATTCCAAATTACCAGATTGGATTTTTTTTTTCATATTATATTGTATGATTCACTTTACACTATATTCTCATAAACACAATTCGCCCATAAACATTCATTTATATTACATTATTGAATACTTAATGTATATTTTGGCTTTTCATAACCACCGAACACCCCTCGATTACCACTTTTAACGACCTGCTCTTAATGAGTGCCCAACCCAGCTTTTAAGGGTTCACGACCCGTGCCATTCTTTCTTCCTCGGGCATAGGCATAAGACATGGAATGGAGTTTCTGTCACTTTTGCGATTGTGGTTTGGGGGATATTTTATAGACAAAGTGAAGATAAACAAGGATTAATTACAGTACCAAGAGCACTATCTAATTTTGAAAAATCATAAGTGTGAAAAGTGTCACGGTGACTATACCCTCCACAGTAAGGTAAGTGCATATGCTAATGATTGGGCGGTGATAGACTAGGTAAAGAGGAGGTCCGAGGCCAGAGCCAATGGTAGGGAAATACAGTGATTGGGAGGGTCTCCAGGGGCAGAGCCCCCGGTAGGGAGATACAGAGATCAGGAGGGGGTCCGGGGCTCTCCCCCGATAGGAAAATATAACTATCAGAAGGGGGTTCTGGGGGCGGAGCTCTTTGGTTCCTAAGGCGATCTTTGTGATAGATTGTGCATTTAGGCCAGGTTCGCTCGCTCATTTATTCATTTAACTCAACACTGTGTCAAATCTTCGTGGCTGAATCTTGGCTTGGGTTTTTCATTTTTACTCTTTTGATTACCTTTTAAAATCCCTGCTAAGAGCAAAATCGACCATACGTGACCCCTTTAAATCCCCGATTCCCCACAGGATCCCCCAAGAATGTTGAATGGAGTTGGGGACTTAGTCTCCATTGGGTGCAGTCATGTTAGTAAGAATTACCATGTCTTCTTATATTTATTTTTTTTTTCAAATCCTAACTTAAAGGGGGTGGCTATAAAAAACTTACTTTCTGATTGTTTCTAGACCCAAATTTATAGTATTGTTAAAGGAGAAACATGTAACAACATTAACATACTTCTAAATTCAGACTACTCAAATGTATAATGTCATGCTGCAAAACTTCTGCAGTTATACATAAATTTTTAATACAGCATTATATATCCTAATGTTTTATATAATACATTCCCCATTCAAAAACTCCCTATGCTTTATCTTTTATAATCCCCCCCCATAATGAATACTTATTATCAACATGTGAATCAACAATTTCTTATCCTGAACTGCAGATTTCTTGTCAAAAATCCCTAGTTCATACTAAGGACACCCCCCTCCTTCCATCTAACAACCTTGGGGGCATACATAGGTTGTCAATTAACCACCTTTAAGATCGACTGCCATCCCTCCCTACTGACCTCCCATAGACCTATCCTTGAAAGGAATGTAAAACCTCTACCAAATCTAAATTGTAAGGCAGAACCAAGACAGATCCAAGTGAAGCGCCTTGTGCATGACGTTAAGACCCACCTGAGGCAGAGGTAAACATCAATTGCTACTAACACTAGTTATGGGAGTTTTCAGACATTAACCCGATAGAAAGTTTGCCAAGTGGACATAACAACAGGATTGTTGGCACACACTGGCAGTTTTCCGCTTGCGCCCAGCTCGTTCAGTAGTTTGTAAGCAACATTTGGCACCTAAAAACTTTTATTTTGCTATAATTTATAAAAATATTAAAATCTTGAATGTTTACCTTCTTTACAGGTGCTATTACCTAAAATCTTTATCATATAAATAAAGCCGCTACTATCAGAGAAAAACAAACTCAGTCCGACTAGCCAATGGCACAGGAATGGTCATGATACGATGCCATATACGCACATGCCATCTGGCAGCTAGTGGTTAGTACAGTGATTTTTTTATCCTTTCTGCACATATGTTTTTCTTAGTATTTATTAGTTCTGTTCAGAAGTTCATTAGTTCACAGGTTTTTATTAGTTCCACACAACTTCCTGCACAAGATACAGGCAGTTTCCTTTATTAGTTCTATTGATTATTTATTAGTTCTACTGATTATCTCTGCTACATCTGGTTAGTGCAGATTAACATGAGTTCACTGATGCATGCAAACTGATGGGATTAAAAAATGTTCTATGGTACATTACCCAAAAATGCAACAATGCCATTACGACCCAAACATTGTAACAAGTAATCTAAATACAAACAAAATGTCTACAGTAACAGCAAATAGGGCGATTTAGCATGACATCAGCAGCTTAGCAACGCATAGCAACCATTTCTGCTGGGTGAAAACAAACCGCAAATGATGCCGCCAGCCTATACACTGCGATATTCATTCTGGATTCATTTCACCCTTTTTAACAGTTTTCACAAAATCCTTGAAATGTAACACGGATATTTCGATACATTAGAAGGAGAAGCAAAAATTTGATACATGGAGAGACTAAAAAATGTATAGCTAGAGGAATGGCCATACAGATTGCCATCTGATGTTTGAGTTGACAACCCCAAGACATGGCCTAATGTCTATATCATATATATATATATATATATATATATATATATATATATATATATATATATATATATATATATATATATATATATATATACATATATGTATATATAACATATGTGTGTACTATATATTATATATATATATATTATATATATATATATATTATGGTATATGTGTATTAGTGATTGTGTTGTATACATATATTGTATGTGTAAAGTTATTAGTGTGTGTATATTAATATATATATATGTGTTATATTATGTATATATTGTAGTTGATATATATTATATAATATAAATATATATAGTGTTAGTGTTACGTATATAGATATGTGTATATATGTGTAATGTGTATATGTGTTATGTGTATATAAATAGTGTATCTATATGTAATGGTATAATAATGTCTATGTAGTATATTAATTAGTGATAAATAACTATAGTATATTACAATATGTATATAATTAGATCAATTATGATATATGCATAATGTACTATATAATAATTATCTTATATATAATGTACCTTATATATGTGCAACATAAATAGCATTACATATAAACATTGTTTTAATATACATTATTAATATACATTAATATCCTACTATGTATAGATAATACATGAGTAGCATATACTATTATAGCATATAAAATTATATAGTAATACAATAGTGATACATTATAGATCATACAGATATCAAATATAGTACGCGCGCAGATATAATCAATATATCCTAATCACGTTATGAGCATTATAACATTATATGTACTCCTTATTATGTAATACACGCTATATATCAATTTACTAATATACTCTTAGATATTATAATACATATACACAGATTATATATACACTAATTTTCATATACTATAACATATACATTATATATTACATATACATATATATACATATACATTATAGTATACATATGCCATGACTACTCTACCACTTCATACATACACTTATACACCTCGTACCATACTCCTTACACAGTGGTATACGATACACCGGTATTACCATACATATATATATATCCTGGAGATCTCACTTTATAGACTATATATAACATATATATACAATTATATATAGTACTTATGCTGATATAACTATGTATTCTATGGAACATGTAAATTACTTATTTTTATATTGACTTTATATTTAGTATAGTTTGTACTTTATATATGTCTTATATGTATGATGTAATGCTATTAGGTGTTATATGTATATATTATGTATATATATATATATATGTATATGTATATAAATGTATATGTATATATATGTATATGTATATGATATATATGTATATGTTTCATATTATTTCTACAATACTAAATATAATGGTATATGTTATTAAGTATTATAACTCGGTTTTATAATAGTTAGTGAACTTATATATGTATATGTATATTGTGTTGAGCTATAACTCGACCTAAATTCGGATGAAGAGAGAGGTATCATAGATTAATGAGGTGCATATATAATATATAAAAATATAATATTGTATGCATA